ATGGCTATTTGTATAGGGATAAAGAGGATATCTTGCTTTAGCTTTAATGTGCATGACGTTAATATTCTTAAATCAAGCCCTGGCTGGTGTAGCTCAGTGGATTGAGCATGGGCCTGTGAACCAAAAGATCGTGGTTTGATTCCCAGTCAGGGCACACGCCTGGGTTGCAGGCCAGTTCCCAGTGGGGGACCCACGTGAGGCAACCATACATTGATATTCCTCTCCCTCCCCTTCCCCTCTAAAGATAAATAAAATCTTTAAAAAAATATTCTTAAATCAAGAATTAAAACTTAAAAAAAATAAAGACGCAATGAAAGTAGGCTCAAAATCTAATATAGTAAAAGTACCATAGTTTCTAATGACGACTTTCTTAGTTTTCCTTTATGGCTTCCCCACTCCCCACATCAGCTAACTGATAAAGGTAATGAAAGTAGATAGTTCCCACGGCTTTTCTGTGGTTCTCTGCTCTTTTTGTTAATTACCAGAAATTGCCATCTATCTGGAGTCAATTACCATTTATATGCATGTGACATAGAAAACCCACTGATCATCTTTAAACTTTCATCCCAAATATTTGTTTCATCACCATTGTAGGTGGCATCATTTTTCTGGCAATGGGGGAAAGAGGTCACTATATTTCTGCCCTTCCAGGTATGCAAGTATTTAAATCTTTCTAACTTAACTATGTACTTTGCTTTGCTTGAGAATCATTATCAGAAACTGCACATGAACTTTCTTGGATCTGTAATGATTATGATTCCTAGCTGCAGATAGGGGAGTCTACTCTAGTTCAGTAGGGAGCAGCAACTCCTCTTTGGGGGCATTCTATCACAGAGGCCAGGGATGTTAAATATCCTGCACAATGAACTGTTTCATTCAAAACACCATGAGAAGCCCCTTGAGAAACACAGAGCTCAGGGTTAACTTCATGGGCATGTCAACTGTGAGGTCATATAGAGCCCAGTGCTTGGTTTAATGCTCTGCAGCCACTATTCTGAACATTTTAATAACTTTATGTTTGAACATCTGTTTCACAAATGAAGTCCAGTGGTACAAAGGATTATACATGCAAACAGAGGAGGTAATATTTGAGTCCTTTTTTCCTCATCACCCCTTTTGCTTATGGTCTTCACGATGCCTCATAAGCGCAGGATTCTGGTGGCACTACAACATATAGGAATCCTAGTAGTCACAAAATGAGCATAAGGCAAGCGTGTTACATTTATGACTGATTTAATAGGGATACCGACAGCTCCAAGAAGCTGTGCTTTCCACTTGAACCAAAACTGATTTCAGGTATAGAAAGAAGGCAGCCTAAGAAATACAAGTGACTAAAGAGCCCTAGCATAGCCTTTGTTACTTGCGTGTGTTACTTCCCTGTATTACCTTTTACACTGAAAATATGACATAGAAGGACGGGGAATCGAAGGGCAGCCAATAGTTCCTTCTCCTTTCAGTCCTTCCTTACTCAGGTTGGAAGAATGTGTGCATATCAATAAGGGAATTCAAAAGTCGACTTGGTTTTGTGCAGCATTTACACTGTTTTGATAAGCATGAAATATATACGCATGCATGCAAAAGCTATGAAATATGTGTAATTTTGGTGATTCCATGTATGAGTTAAATGCTCTTATATTTGTATTTATAAATGGCATTGTGTGATATAAAAATGAATGGTAAAATTCATTCTAGTAATTTAGGATTACTAGAATTGTAATTTTACTAGAATTCTAGTAATTTAAAATTGGACTTTTTATTTACTTAGAATGACATTAAAAAACAAATAGAAATACTGTGATAAGTTGAGGAAGGGATGACAAAAGACAGAAAAAGCTTTATATTTTATACATATAGTACTTTTGTCTTGTTTTTTGAAAAAGGACCCTAACATTTTTCATTGTGCTCTGAACCCCACAAATTATATAGCTTGCCCTGACTGAACTAATTTAAGAGAAATGAGTTAAAGGATAGTATTTAGCTCACAGATCTCTGAGAGGACTAGATAACCAGTCCATGGATAACACAAAAGTAGAAACAGCATCCAAGAAAAAACAAACTAGAAAGAACACTCATCTCACATCACAGAGCTCTATTATTGGAAACCCAGCCCAGCACCACCTGCCAGTCAGAAGTGCTAAAGCCCATCTCCTTGAGACATCAGTTGAGGTACCACATTGCTCACTTTCACAAGCATATCATGAATAGGTGCATCTGATTGCTGGAAAGTAGGTCATATGTAGTGATATGCTGAAGCCAACTTATTATCATTAGCATCTTCTCCAACTAACTCCACATTCAGTGAAGTGACTTTGGTAGCTTAGGGGTATTATACCATGAATACTGCCAGTTCTACAAATCAGTCAGGGTCTTTCCCCTCTCCCAGCCACTGTTAAACGTTCACCAGCACGTCACTCACCTTATGCCAACACTTTGCTGCAAGGGAGTCTGGAAACTAATTTTTCATTTTCTAGCTTCTAATGTACAAAAAAGCAACTTAAAAGCGGTTGGATGAGTGCCATCTTACAGCATCTGCCAAAAAATTATGGTAGCCATTGCCTTCCGTTCTAGGTTATAAATTGCTAACAGGCAGATGCTAACAGGCGTTGAACAGTATTTGGTGCAGAAGGCTGGGCTGGCTTTTACTATAGGCATGCAGTACATGATGAGCACAGGTCAGTGAAGTAGAAGAGATAATAAAATGTCAATTGATATGACTTACATAGGTGCATTTCTAAGATACTAGACTGTAACCTCTATAAGGTCAGGGATCATGTCTATTGTGTTTCCCACTACATCTCAAATCACCTGGCAAATAGAAGCCACTCAATGGTAACAACCAAAAAGGAGATGCTTTAGAAATATCTAGAGTTCAATTTTGGCATTTTTCACATAGTATTGGATAAGACATTTCAAATGATTTTACTGTTTTTAGATGAGTTAAACTTCTGAATGTCAACAGTTTATTATGATACTTTCACATATATTTTCTCATTTGAAGCTTTTAAAATCTCTGAGAAGTGAGAACAGAAATTACCCATTTCATAGATGAAAAAACAAACTCTGAAAATATAAAGTGATCTAGCCAAACTCACTTAGCCAGTAAATGATGGTTTAAAAATTTTTATTCTGACCCCAAATTCCAGAGTTTTTTCATACTTCAAGAGACTGTATTTATAAAACACAATTTATAGTGATGATTAGAGATTTTGGATTTTCAGTTGAGCATTCCCTGAAACTCAAATACACACAGTGAACACACTATCCTAATTTCATGCTACTAATGTTTTTCTTCAAGACTGAACACTCCTTGGTAGAAGAATTGGTATTGTGGTTGCAACTGCCTTTTCTAAAAGTAAATGATATTGAGTCAAAAAGTAGAAGGAAAGAAACAGTTTTCTAGAAATAGCTAATCTGTGAATTTGATGCTTTTACCCTTTTCTAGTTAGGAATGGTGTAATTTAAATGTTACATACTTGATTATAATTCAGTATAGCGATACTCTATATTATTTAAGAATGATGACAGTGGCGGGTGGGGTTGCTAACAATAAAGACTTCTAGGCTCCACCTCCCCAAAATGTGATTTAGTAAGGGTCAAAATATCCAACTTTAAAGAACGCTCTAGTGCCAGAGAATGAGATGAGAATCCTGGCATTAAACATCTGACACTCAGCTTGTACAAAATATTTATTTTGCCAGAAAACGCATTTTAACATGGTAGTACTATTTTTAAATCATTTCCATAGCCTTCTGAGAGTTAAATCAATTTGAGACTTTTGCCTCTTAAAAATATTAGGCAATTTCCTGTATATTAGTACAAATCTTGCCGCCTATTTTATAATCATGCTCTGAGGATGAAAACTGCAGGCTAATTTACTGTGGTAATCAATCTCAAATCCCTTGGAGCATAAATTCTTATTAGTATTATATGTTATGGAATTTACAGACAGCTTATCAGTGATCTATCCCATTGAGTCTTTTGATTTTCTATTTGAAGAACCATAATGGTTTCCAATAAGGATCTCTCACACCACTTCGAATAGCATCTTACTGCCCATTAAAAGACCTGTATAACACAAGTGTGAAATAATGATCTCTAATTTGGGTAGATTGAAGATGAGTCAAAAATCCTAATTCAGTGGCGTATTTTGAATTTGAAGCCATGGATTCTGCTTCCTACTGCTTCATTTTCTTGTTGGAAAGAAACCCTTATGGATTTTTAAGTGAAACTCATTTCCCAAATGAGAACTGAGTCCCTATTCAAGGTCACGCCCAATATTAGTGACCAAGTTCTACAAAACAAACAAAACCCTATCAGTTCCAATATAAGGGCCACCTCAGCAGCCTGCCTCTTTTTTTCGATTTCACAACTGCACCCCCACTCTCACTCCCCCGCTTTGAATAAAGTTGTTTAGTCTAACGGTTCCTCTCCAACCGCTTTTGCTTTTGTGTGTTCAAATAATAAAACCTAGCACAACCTGTTAATGAATAACACTGGGAGTCTGCAACCAACACAGTGACTTTCAGCGGCTTTTTTTTTTTTTTTTAAACCCACAATTTCTCGGAAAGGCTAATCCTCTCCGGGAGGGAGAAGGAAGTCACAAGCAGCTGACAAGTCCTTACTTGTACAAGCGCGCGACCGGAACGCAGTCTGCCGACCCGGGGCGCAAATCATGGAAGGATGTGCTACACCAATCGGGCAGAAAAGGGTGGGGAGGAAGACACAGTAGTGGGCATTCCTGTGCACTGGCTCTGCCAACTCCGAGCAAAGCTGAGCGGAGTCAAGCATGAATAAATCTCATTACGCAGTCGGGCGCACACACTGCAGCACCCTAACTGGAAGGGAGAGTGGCGGAGCGCGCGGCACGTTCAGGAAAGAACGCTGAGGCGGCCCTTTTATAAGCCACAGCCCGCGCTCGCGCGCCCTCGCCCCTCCCGCGAGGTCCGGGCGGCACGAGATCTGCGCCTCCGCTGCCTCCTCCCGCGGTCGGGTTTCCTTACCTTGTAAAAAGCCGTCTCCACGGCCGCCCCCGCCTTCTTTGCGGGGTGCGAAATGGCGGTCGGCGAGGCGAGCGCCGCAGCTTCGGCCAATCCCGCCCAGCCGCCAAAACGGCCCTGAACACTGGCACCACCCTCCCGCAAGCCCCTCTGTGCCCATCTATGACATCGGCACTCCACCGCCCCCCCCCCCCCCCGCTGCCCCACACCCAGGTGGCCTTGCCCACTGGCCGAGTCATCGATCCCCAGCGTCGGGCGCGGGCCCAGCTTCCCGCCAGCCTCCACCCCCTCTGCGTGCCCGGGGGCGGGGAAGAAAACACCTTCACGGCCAGGGTGTCCCGCTCGGGAACCCGCTCGCTCCCTCCCTTTCCCGCCGCGTCCCCTCCCCCAACTACTCGCAGCCCTCCCTTCGCTACACACAATCTTCTTCTCCCCTCCCCCAGTGGTTGCGTCCGTGACATCATCATCATGGCAACAAGAGCTGCAGCCTGGGACGGAGGAGCCCGTGTGATTCCCGGCGGCGGCGGCAGTGGCGGCAGCACCGACGAAAGCGCGAGGGCTTGTCTTCTGTTACCCTTCACCGGGTGCTCTTGAGAAGGCGGCTACCACAGTGCCTACACCGCCCCGCCCGCCGCCGCTCACGGTGTCCGTGTGTAAGGGGAGGGGGACAAGCCGAGGAAGGGAGGGGGCGCCGCCACTGCTGTGGGGCCGCCGTTGCGGAAGGAGCTGCCGCCGCTGCTGCTGCTGCTGCCAGGTCACTAGTGAAAAAGAGGCGGTGGCGGCGGCGGCGAACATGTTTTCAGTGAGGATAGTGACTGCCGACTACTACATGGCCAGCCCGCTGCAGGGGCTGGATATCTGCGAATCCCCCCTCACCCAAGCCCCTGTCAAGAAGGTGCCGGTAGTGCGAGTCTTCGGAGCGACCCCGGCAGGTAAGCGCTCGCGGGGCGCGGGCGGGCGCGGGGCGCCGGGGCTGCCCTCCCCGCCGCGCACACGCGCGCACGCTGCCGGCCCTCTCGGTGGAGCTCTGCCGCGTCTCCCTTCCCTCCGCCCTCGTCTTTCCTCCCGTGCGTGACAAGAGGCGCAAAAATGTGTGTCCGCGCGAGCGTTGCTGCCCCCGGCCGGGAGGCGGCGGGCGCCTAGTGTTTACACTGCGTGCGGCGGCCGGGAGCAGGACCCGCACTCTCGGGTCGCTGGCTGGGGAAGTGAGCGCCAGCGATCACCGCTCTGGCCCCAGAGGCTGGGCTGGGTGGTCGCGCCACGTCCTGCGTGAACGGGTCGCAGGTCCCCGCTTCTGAGGTCTGTCGCTAGTGGAACCACGGACCGCCTCCCCCCCCCCCCCCCCCGCGCGTCTCCCAAGTGCCCCTTTCTAGAAATGGTTTTAAGAATGGGAAAGTGTCAGTTCTGGTGTCGATCGCTCTTCGTCGCCTCTTCTCACCAGCGCTCTCCTCTGCCCCTTCCGGAGATGCAGTGGGCGGAAGACTGGCGCCTGGGGCCAGATAATCTTTCTCATTGAAGTGACCGTGTAGTTCCGCTCGCTCTGTGTGTAGGTCGTGACTCTTTAGTTTACAGACTCGGAGTCTGGGGACAGGGCGGCGTCTTCAGGTGCAATGCTTTCAGGGAAATTTGCGTCCTTGGAAGTACGAAATGCGTATTTACGGTGCCCAACATAAAACCTCCCACTTAATAGCGTACATTTCTTAGGGACGCAAACATTTTAAATGCCCCTATCCTGGGCTGTAGAGTTGCGTTGTAAGTACACGTATATTTAAACCAAAAAACTATTTTGAAGAACGAAGTGGGGGATACAGCGATGACAAGCTACTTACTTTCTCAAAAGCTTTTGGGGGTTTATGGTAATATAAACCCCCAAATTTGGGGGCCAAATTTACAAGGTATTTTTCGTTGTTTTGCTTTTCTACATGCTTTGAACTGCCTACATGAAATAATGGAGCTACCTCCAGAAAGGGATGATCTTACTTCTAGCTATGTATTGTCCTGTGGGACTTTAGATGATAGCATTTCCCACTTGATGCTCCTTGCGCTAATCACCGTTCATCCTATTACTACTGTGTCGGTGGGCTACCATAATAATAGCCCACTTTCCCAAACGTAAGCACTCATTCCAACCAGTTATCTTTTCATGTGGATTCTCTTTGTTAAAAATGTCAATGTTGTAGTGCTATTTGGCAGAGTATTTCTGTTTAAAATAGTGAAAAAGATTTTGATGATAGGGACCTTGTCAAATGGGGAATTTGAGTGCTGTTAACAGTTCGTTCAAGGTGTGACACTTTATCTGCCCTTTTAAATATAGTGGTGCTGTCTTTGTGTCTAATTGTAATTTCAGTGTAATATACTGTTTGTTTTTACTTCAGGTGCAGAGAAGGAATAAGAGTGATGTTGATATAGTTCTGTTCAGCCAGGTTTCCAATTTATAGGATATACTGTGGCATTTTTGTGTATTACAGTTTGTAAGATTGGAATACTTTTCTACACATAGTTTTTATTTCTCCCTGCAAGTTATTAAATATGTATCCCCGAGTGATTTTCAGGCTTTGTTTTATAGGAAAGTTTTGTTTGTGGAAATAAATGTATTTCACTGTGAGCTACCAATAATTCTGTTGCATGAAAAAAGTATTCTTTAAAAATAAAGAATATGCTGTTTTGCATGTTTCTCAATATTTAAAAATATACATGTAAATTAATTTATAATAAATATTTATTCCCTCCTGCACATATTACAATAGATTACCCCTCCCCAAGCCAAAATGTTTTTAAAAAAATATATTTTGAAATACATAATGTAAATGAATATGAAATTAAAACTTTTTCTATATGTATTGAGAATATAAAACTTGCTACAGAGAAAAACTTCAGCTCCTTAAGGATTATCAAATTGAATTTGCTGTAAATACAGTTCACAGTTTCACATATTTAAAAAATTGTTTTCTCTACAGGTGAAAAAAATTAGAAGTCTCTGGAATGCATTTAGAGAGTACTATTTTCAGAAATCAAGCCAGTATTTTTAGCATGTCAGAAACTTCCAGTAAAATAATTAAACATAAATAAAACTGTACAATTATCTGCTTCTGAATTTTCCCCAAAGAAGACTATTCTAGTCCACTCAGTAAAATAAAACTTGAAAATAATATAAAAGGGAGGTCAGTTTGGCTTAGTAAAAGTCTGAATGCTAGAATTTTTAATGAAGACACTGTTTGAAAGTACAAACTATTAATAGATCCACAAATTAGTAAAATAAGTTAATGAAAAATTGTAACACCTAATAAACCTATATTAATAAAGTACTATACCTAAGTCTTTCAAATATAGTAATTAATTTTGGAAGTCCTTAATTAATTCTTTGTCTTGGTTTAGAGACAAGATGTTTTAAAACTGAATTTGCTTTACAAATGAGATCCTGGAAAAGGGCAGCAGAAGAAATTTTCTCCCCGAAAAGTGGTTATTTCAGATTTACATGATAAATTCGGACCTGTTTGGTTTATTACATTTTTACTATGTAATAAAAAAAACTAATCAGTTTTCCTATTACTGCATGAAGAATATTTTTCTGCTTCAGAAAACAGTCCAGTTGACCTCAGGTTGTCCTCTTTTTTGAGGCCATATCTTGAGTAACTTAATAAATAAATTGTTTTAGTTTTAAAAGGTCCTATATCTCAAGGTTGTGAAATTTGAAAAAGTGTAAAAAATAGCACGTTCAAATTTGAGTGTTAAATCCTGACTGATTTAAATCCTTGTTGACTGAAGGTAATTGATTCCTGAGAGAATCAGTTAGATTTTCATGTGAGTGATGGAATTATTATTTTTAAAAAACCTCTTCTGCTTGCTTGTCTTCTGGTCATTTTTAAAATGTCTTGAACATCGTTTTGACATAACAGTGTATTAAGCAATATAACAACATTTTGGTAATTTGTTTAATGGAGGGGAAGCAAGGTTACAAATAACTAAGTACAGATCAGTGTTTTTTCAGGCTTCATTGTGAGGACCTGACTCAGGTGGACCTGGGAAGATGTCCAGTCAGTTTCCACATCTCAACTTTGCTTAGTTGTTTGATGTAACTCCGTGCTGAGTTTAGATGGCTCTCTCAGTTTTCTGAGCACCAGGTTAAACAGAATTACCCTTTCAGAAAGCTTCCCTGCTGAGAGGCAGAGTAGGGAGTAAATAGAGGAGTGTGAATGAGATGTTCAAAAAGCAAGTAATTAAAGTAGGCCAAACAGACTATAGAGGGAGCTGCTTGTCTTTAAGATTACTGTAAGGAACTCTGCCAATCTACTCTAAGTCTTTTCAGCGAATAAAAATTTTAGATGTTCTAGATGCTGGCTGTAAAACATGAATCAAACATTTCAGCATAACAGCTTGATAATTCAGAAATGTTCTATAGATTTTTGTAGTTGCTTAGTAACCTCACTATTTTTCGTAAATCTGTGGATTATTAAATACCCTTGAAATGACTAAAAATTTGAAAACTATGGCATTTATCAACAATTCATGAATTGTTTTCTAATTCTGATATGGCATCATGAGTAATTTCTCTAATAAAGTCTTGTTTGTTCACAGCCTTTGCTAAGCTACTTTAAAATATTTTAAGAATACATGATGCCTATTTGATATAATTCGTAGAAAAATTCAGGAGAACTACTGATATTTAGTGATTTACCACAAAATATTAGTCACTTGGTAGGTATTTAAAGTCCTGAGTAGCAGAATTTATTAGCTTTCTGTATTATATTTGGTATGAAATAACAATCAGCACATCAAAGGTTTAAGCAAGAGCCCTCTTACATCTGTGGACACAATAGAATCTGCTAATATGTGATTCCATTCATTTAGTGAACACTTAATGAGAACCTACTGTGTAATATTGAGCTTTTTTTTTTTAGGTGCCGTCGTTATGAACATCTTTTATCCTGCAGAAGCTTACAGTATGGTAGAGATGATAGAGATGTCAACGTATGTCAAACATAGTTTGGAGTATAGTAGAAACGTGTATAAGAGCCAGGCTCAAAGAATGACGTGTTTGGTGACATGTTCAGGTGGCAAAAAGGGGAGTCAGGGAAGGCTTCATGAAGGAAGTATGGATTAAGTCATTTTAAAGGAATTTAAAAATGATTTTAAAATTCTGATAGAGGAACAGATACAAGGT